GTGTATTATACATTAAAGCCTTTCTTGAATTTCCTGGCAATGCCTGCAATTTTGGCATACCCCCTTCGTCCCACAGGCCTAAGAATGTTGATCTGTCTAACAACAGTAACACCGGCCACCTTTAGAGTTGTTACAATGCTGAAATTAGATGCTATTTGTAAAGTGCTCGGAACTATGTCTGGTACAGAACTGTACTATGCAAGTATTGGCTATACTATTATCACTTGTTAAGAAGGTAGTATTTGTAAGACAGCAAATTCTCCCAAGTGCAAATGAGGAGGGCCAAAATAATGACAGCTCTCCACCACACCTTGGTTCAGTGCTGAGGAGTATAACACAAGTGAATCCTCACTCATAAAACTGTCCGTGTCCACAGGGCTTAGGATGCAGATAATGTCTTATTTTTATTTATATAAATCAAATTGTTTAGCTATACCCATTATCCCACAGATGGTAAAAAGAACTCACCAATCTTTTCGGGGGTGGGGAGGAGATACCTCCATAGTACAAACAAAAACCCCAGGAAAATGTGGGTGTTCATTGTGTAGCCATTTCAGCTACAGCGCACTGAGAAGCTCCTGTGTGGGGCCGGGGAGATGGCTCGGTGGAATAAGCGCTTCCCTGGCAAGTGCAAGGGCCTGAGTTCAATCCCTGGTTCAGAGAGAGAGAGAGAGAGAGAGAGAGAGAGAGAGAGAGAGAGAGAGATCTCCTCTGCAGACTGCACTGAGTCCAGGGCCCTTCACTGACCTGTGCAAAGCCAAGGTCTGAGGTAGCTCCCGCTGCATGCCTCTGAGGGCAGCCTCCACAGGCTCTACAACAGCACAGCCCAGGTCCAGGGCTGCAGGCTTGGATGAAGCAGCAGCCACTGATGTCTGTCTCCTCTGTCCCCCTCAACTGTCCCTTGGCAGTGAGAGGGGGTTCAGAGGACTGAGAAAGACAGAAAGGCACAGGAAGGCAGGCAAACCCCTCTGTGCACGACTCTCAGTGCCCTTCTCCCGCGACCTCTCCCACAGAGGTACCCGCTCAGCTCCTGGAAAGAGGGCCTTGCCCTGGATGTGGCAGAGGAAACAGTCCTTGGAGCAATTGAATATTCAGTGGAAATTACTGTCTTGATAGCTAGGTAGGGTCAAAATGGTATCGGAACAAGTACCAGTGAAGTTGCTCTCTACCCAGCTGGGGGAGTGTAAGGAAAAAAACAGGAAGGTAGCCATTACTAGGAAAACCAGAACCTTCTATGTTTATGTTAGTGGCCTGAGGCCTCTCAAATAAGCAGTTATAGTCATTAGCTACTCTTTTGGGGGCAAGGAATGCCCAGACCTCCAGGACTCAGAAGCCTGTGTGTTCTCTTGGCAAAAGAAGAAATAAAGTTCATTTCTTTGTGGTGAACCCAGTTCTGGACAATCTTTTTTTTTTTCCCCAACAGATGATCCTTCCATATATCTAATCACCAGCATGTGAAATTTCTCTTATTGATAAAGGAGTTTTAAAATATTTTGGGTAATTGGATAGCTATGATTTTAGTGGAGTTTCACAATATGCATACTATGTTTCTTTTTTTTTCTCCATAATTTTATTGAGAAACAAATAGCAATGAGACGGTTTCAAATCAAATTGGTAGGACAGTTTCACTACGTTTCTATAATTAA